CTCTTCAAGTCAAACTATGTAATATCAAACCATTATTTTGTAAATATGTATATCATACCCTGCATGTATATTCATCTAGGTTGCTCTGAAGATGTAAGTTGTATTGTAAACAAAGAAACGTACTTAGTTATTCAATTTATTACTTTTATTATGTTTGGTTTTAAAGTTATTTGCTGTGCTCTGCATTTTATCTTAATTCAAATTAAGATGTTTCCATAGCTTGAATAAGGTTTTTGTCTAAAATCTACAAAATTAAAGTCCAAAATTTACATTGTCAACCTGCATCTTGTTTTGAATCATATATTGTATTCTCAAGATGTCTTGTCTTTTCGGAATTTGTTTTTTACTTTATAATATATACTTTAAATTGTCGGCTGGTCATGGGTTTGTTTTGTTTTTTTCAAACAATGAATTCCTTTGTGGTTCGCCAATTACCAATTTATTTCAATACGATTCATATTTAAGAAAACTCTCGCAATGCTTCATTAGTATGACTAAAATATTTCAACCCAGCTTCAAAATTCTTCCATTGTCAACAAGTCTTAACGGTTTCAATTTCACTTGCAGACATGCATGAGATGTTATTTCCTGGTCTTCTTCTAACTGTGATTGGTGGTGGATGTTATATGTCAGTTCTGGTCAAGGTAATGGGACTATTATAGGCAATATCCATTAATCATACACAAATATCACCCGCAGTTTTGAAAGTTTTTTTTATACAGAAGAAAATCACACCATCTTAGATGTGTGGTAGGAGACTGATCTCCACTATTAAACAGATCAGTCAGTAAAGAAGGTGACAACGTGGAAAAAATGAAGTTAGGTGGGTCTCCTGCAGTGAATATGTTTCTATACTGGAATTACTATGTCTTGATTTTATGCATTTTCAAACACAATTCAGACAACGATAGGAACTAAATTTTAAGTATAGAAACTGACGTTGTTAATTGTGACACTATAATGACAGATCATGCACATAGTCATAAATACGTAGCCTACTGGTTTAAACGAGGATGAGATTGCGTGAGAGTTGACAATCAACTGTTTTTAATGCCTTCCCAAAATTGGCTTTAAACCTAATAAAACACTGCTGCTCGTTTATTATTTAAACAGTACTTAAAACAGTCATCAAGCTTTATTACTTTATATCGGTATTTTCTGTTTCTTTCCATTGTTTTGTATAAGAACCTAAAGGCCGTTTTCGACAAGACGGAATTTTTTGTCCGAATCGAAACTTTTCCACAATGACGAGAGCGCATGCGCAGTTGAGCATTTATTTTTCGGCAGCGAAATAATTGCAAGGTCGGCGACATTTCCCGCTTTCGTGAGTAGAAAAATCGAAATACTTGTGAACAACATGGCAGACATGAGTGAATGCAATTTGCTTGCGCTTGAAGATAGTTTCCCAGCTCTTGAAAGCTATTTCCGAACATGCATCAAGAAGAACTAACCATAGAAGACGTAATAGAATATGACGTTGAAATTTTTATCGTGGATTATTGTGGAATACTTCTTGAAATTCTTATCGTGGAATGTTTGGGGAATACTTCTCGGGCCTCATACATACCTTTGTATGATGAATCAACCTCGTTCCCAGGGCTTTTCCCTTTTTGTCATTGGGAAGGCGGGAAAAGGCCCTGGGATCGGCTGGTCACGTGACCTCAAAATACCCACATTTTGTGGGTATTATAAATTATAATAATAATGATTAGAAAATCCAAGATGGCCGCCAACCTAAGAGTGTCCACAAAATTTAAGTGCTTAGAGCGGCTTAAAAATGCGTTTAGTCTTGGAAATTTTTCCTTCTTTTTGCTACCGACGTACTCGAAATCAAATTCTTCAGCTTTTATTACATGGGAACTATGTAGTTGCTGTTCTTCCAACTGGGTTTGGTATAAAATATCGTTCGTTCGCTAAACAAAATTAATTATCAGCCAAAATATAGTATTACGACAGATGTTCTCCAGCTGGACAGGCTTGCCTAAGAGGATACGGAAAGTGTTTTGAACTGGGGATGTTAAACTTGGTTTTACCCTTCCAAAGACACTGCTGTGCGACGATTGGAGCGAGTTTATGAGGAATATTTTATACAGTGATTCAAAGAAATGTTTTGCATATACTGTATATGTTATTGATGTATTGTTGAATGTCACTTATATTATAAAGTGCCAATGGTTGGAATATTTATTCATTGATATTTTAAACACAGATTAAGTGTTATATGCTCTTTCCTTGTTTACGTTTTCCTTGTAGCCAAATGTTGTTGAAGCTGGCAAGCTGCAAAACTGACATAGGAGTATATAACTGACATATATGCATCTTAGTTTGCTTCCAGTAAAATGTAAACAAGAACTTAAGAATTCTATATGAGATAAGAAATATTACGTTTAAAATCATGACTGGCAAATTAGCATGTGCAATTGATGCTTCCTAATAATAGTATGTACTCCAGCAGTGGAGAAGGAAGGGGCACGGGAGGCACGTGCCCCCCCCCCCAATTTTTTCAAATGACTAAAAGTGCCCTTTTTTTATGAAAAGTGCCCTTTTTTGTGACGAAAAGTGCCCTATTTGTACAAGCTAATGTCGTTGTAAATACTAAATTAACACAATAGGTGCCCTTTTTGTTTGGAAATTTCCAAGCTTTTTAAAAAAATTAGGTCAAAAACATCAATTTCGGCGCCAACATTTCCGGGAAAAATTTTTTAGGTGCCCTTTTCAAAACCGTAAAGTGCCCCTAGAAGCTGGTGCCCCCCCAAACGTTTGATGCTTCCTATGCCCCTGTACTCCAGTAAAGCTTGCTTGCTTCAATTCATGCTGTTACCATCTACACATTATCAGGGTGGAGAGTTGATTTGAATTTTTTGTCCCAGGGGATAAAGGTAGGGAATAGATTTTCCGTAACAAAAGGGGCAAGGTGCCCAACCAGTTAGAAGATGACATGTACTTTAAGTGACCATCATTATATCCTAGGGTGGGGTGGGAGATTCTTATGTCAAAATGTCACGAGACCCCTTTTTAATCTCTTAATTTAATAATGGAGACCCCTCCTAAATATTTAAGACTATATAACATGATGCAATTCTAATCTTCATTCATGTGAATGCCTGACTATGAAGAAAATAAATTTTGCAATACAGGGATGGATCCAGCATGATCTGGTAGGGGGGGGGGTGTGCTCTACCAGCTCTGGTGCCGAGTTGTGTCGGTCATGTGTGCCGCCCACCCATCAGCTTGCTTCACCACTGCAAAGTCTTGCTTTACTACTGTATTTGACTTGTAATTGTTGTTCACAGATCGCTTATCATCATGTTATTACTCAAATTACTGTATCTCATTTTGCCTGTAATAATTTTTTGCTTTATCATGAAAAATAGCACCCCCTCTGGGCAGGGCTAGGGGGGGTGCACCCCCCTCCAGTAAATCCATCCCTGTTGCAAAATACACTATAAGAGCTAGAATGATTGCTTCCTTTGGATGATTTGTCTTAGAATTATATTACCTAAATAGTATATTACAACAATTCTTCCTCTTCTGAAACCAGTTACTATTCTGTTTTTACAACACTCACCCCCCCCCAAAAAAAAAACTAAACAAATCAAGGACCCCTCCAAGGCAATTTTGCAGCAAAATAGATTTAATTTGATGGTAACTGTTCTGAGAATATATTAACTCATTGAGTGGCAGCATTCTGCTTAGACTTGCCACAAGTCGACCTCGAACGAAACGCAAGCAGCGAGTGTGAGCAGACATTTTGTTCGAGGTTGACTTGCAGCAAGTCTACATTCTGCCCTTGAGTAAAATTGTCTGGCACCAGACGGGTAATATACTAAAGTAGGGCACATTGCCACTATATAACGGGTTAAACAAATTTAAAATTTTTTTGCAATGGTCTATATTCAAAAAGCTCTATTTGTAAATATTAATTGACTTTTATACCTACTTATACTTATAGCTACCTTGCCCCAGTCACTTCAAGTGAATTCTACGGGAGGAGGGGGACATTGAAAGTCCCTGGGTTTACTTCAGTTGGTAAAAGCAAGAATTGAACCATGCATTACATGTATATAGAGAGCAGTTTTAATTATATTTTATCATGCAAATTCCTTGATAATTGTTCTTAAACATCTTTGGCTTAGAATGGGCACACCCTCCAAAGGTGTTTGTTACAGGGTCCTAAGGTGTAAATATACACTGTCCAATATGCAAGGTGTTAATATAAACAACAATAACAATGTATATAATTAAATTTTATTAAAACTCTTTCCCGACCTAAGCCTTTCGCATCAGATTACGACACAATTTTTCTAATATAAATATCTCGGCGAGTATTTACCCCCCTTGTAAATAAAAGCCACCATTGAAATCCTAATAAAATAACCTTTCGAACGGGGGGTCAAGTGCCGTAAGAGCATTACACAAACCGAAACAATCATATATTTACTCACCGCTTGGCCAAAGATTCTAAATTTCATATACACAAGATCTTGAATACCCCTTGAACTTTTCGACATTTGCTGAACGGCTATATGTGTAAAATACTCTTTGTATTCAAGCGCTTTCGTGTAGAAAGTTTCGTATGTATACGCCGACTAGAAATATTTATTTTGAATTTTTCAAGATGTCGGGTTTTACTCGCACTTGCGTACATTGCGCAATAATTGGCCAATAAGAAGCTCCTTTGGCCGGGATGACGTCAAACTCGCGCGTGTAGGTGCAATTTGACCTTGCGAATCCATTTCTGGCCTTTGCAGGGTCATACGATACAAACGTCGCATTGTTTTGACGGTTTTAAGACGTATTTCCGGTTGGGATTATTCACTTCGAGCTCACAGTCGGACAAGAAATGGAAATATATTTATAAAAGATACAGATTTGTAGATTCAGGGTTGCAAATAACACTACAAAAACACTATTTAATGGGGATTCGAACAAGACTATTACAAAGACGATATGTTCGAAGGGGCCGAAGTTATTTTCGGCGAAAGGTATGAATAGTCTATATTTTTGTTCAGACAATTGCGTAATTTGATACAATATTATCGTGTTTGACTTCAAAGGCCCATAAATCACTACAATGTTGATAATGACTATAACTATAGCGAGGAATTAGTTGAATCTTTTATTTCTGAATCGAATGGTGGTATTTCTGTCTTCATAGCACGCACTGAACCGAAGATATAAAAATTTCTCGCCGTCAACCGCTAGCGGATGACGCGACTGGCTTGAGATGCAAAAGAGTTTTAAACAAAATGTGGAATATTTTACCATACATTACCATCCCAAAGTGTACATAATTTATCAATATAATTAGGACCTTAGAAGCTGTTCGCATGAGTTTGACTCTGACCCAGCACCCTTGGCTAGCTCCCCTTGCCCGATCACAAGTAGAAAACCTCCAACCCCCTCAGACAAATCAGTCCAGATCTGCCTAAGAGGCAGGATTTTCTGGAATATTATTAGCAGTGAAATTGTTGCATATTTTCAAGCATGAATTGTAACCTGATTTTAACGCCTGCTTGAACTTCAGACATTGTGGCAATGGCAAGATGGTCCAGCTAGCCATATGAATACAATATTAAAATAACATAAAAACAATGCAATTTAAGGCCAGACAAACCAACTCCTGCGAACAGCCCTTTATTACACATTTGAAGCATCTCTTAAGGCATCAAAGTACAAGCATGCACATGGAATTACATACGAGTATGTGACATAAGCCCACCATTGCACAACTATGTCTGCAACAATGTAAATACAATCAAGCTGGAAACGGATTTTATAAGTATTTTGATATATACATTATGGCTCATGTCTAAAGACACCTGCACTTTCATATTGAAATTGTTCTAATATCATCCAAACAAAACACATCAGAAAACTGTAACATCAGCCAAATGAGCAAATCACTTTTTTAATAGTATCTGAAATAAAACCAAATCACATATTATTCAAAAGTTGTAAACATTGTTGCATATATAATATACCAAAATATCGTCGCATTTCTAGTGGTAACTAACTATAAATTAGGCCAATTTAAACTCCACTATGAAGAATATCAAAAACTACACATAAACATAAAACATTTTAAAATATAAACGCTATACGAAGAATACGAAGCCAATGAAGGCACATTTCCCTAAATACTCGGTCAGAGCCTCAGAGGTGTGTTCTAGTTCACAATTAATCTTCTCTCACAGTTTAAAACAAACAATAATACTAACCTTCGACAAATTGTGTATAAATCTTATCGAATTTAACCATTTTGCCACAGATTTTGCCAAAAATATTTCTTAGACGGGCAAAAGTATTTATAATGACACTCCTGACTCCTTGTGTGAAAATGTTAATTTATCCCAAAGTTTGAATAAATTAATCCAAGATTGCATTATTTCCATAATAATGTACTTGTCATTGACCAATCAGAATACATAGAAGACCAGCCGATCCCAGGGCCTTTTCCCGCCTTCCCAATGACAAAAAGGGAAAAGCCCTGGGAACGAGGTTGATGATGAATGCTTGGCAGTAGCTTGACAAAATGTTCAACAAAGAGTCAGAGACGGTATGTTTTACAGGATTTTATTCAAATTATAGCCTATAGATATGTCATTTGGTGTACGAATATATATGTATTGTTATCTGCTCAAATTAATTTAAATAATTTTAATGGCCAACCTGACATGCAAATTTTGCACAAAATATTTTGCAGCAGATATTTCATCTGTATTTTACAATACTGAGAGGGTCCTGAAGGGGGGGGGGGGGTCCCAATCCCATTTCCAACCTGACATTTTGGCAAAATCCCAGTCCCAGTGGGATTTTTATTAGAAATCCTAATCTCATTTATTGAATTCCCAGTCAATAAAAAATCCTTTATTTATCGGTAGAATAAACAGTTTTAAGACTTTTAAGCAAGTGGCGGACACTTTATGAAATATTAGTGGGGGGCTCGTGCCGAAGGCACGGAAAATTTTTAAATTTGAATCCCGGAAATGGCATTTGCAGCATTCTGAGACACGCATAATCAGAAACCCAGAATTCCGGGCGCCAGAATATGCCTGTTCGCAGGCAGTGCTGTGAATAATATAGCTAACAACAAAAATCATGACCAAGACACCAAAAACTGATCAAAATTGTATTTCAAAATACTCAAAACGCAGAAAAATTGGGAATCGACTCGCATTACCTCAATCCCATTCCCATTTTTGAGGACTTCATTTCCCATTCCCAGTGGCCAAATCCCAGTCCCAGCAACCCAAATCCCATTTTCCCAGTCTAAAATAGATCAATTCCAGTTCCCATTTTACCCCTTCAGGACCCTCTATTGATAGTTTTCTACAGTTGTTTATGTTTTGTCGGCCAAGATAATTTAAAGAGTATCTCTCGAACGGCATTTAAATCGAATTCTTTAATAAAATTGATATGTACAGGCACTAATATCAAATTATTGCCTTTTGAATATACTCCCGATTGTAAATTATTTTCAAAATGTCAATCCTTTCACATTGCATGTCTTACATGAATTAATGCACTCATTTTATATAGTTACCTTACGATTGATGCATGTACTAATGTACTTAATTTTACTTTAAACGTTTTGAGTCCATATAGTCATCAAAACAATTAATTCATTAAAGTATACAAAATTATAGCACTTATGAAACGAGCTGTTGTAGGTGAAAACATTATATTAAATAGTTATGCTACAGCTTGTTCGGAAGCTGTAGTAGGTTTGGCTGGATGTATTTCAGTATTATATGGCACAGCTGACCTAATGACATTCTTATTGCATCCTCATTCCATCTGGTCTATATAATTATGTGTTCCTAGTTTGATTTCATTTGTGCATTGTACCATGATATTTTGCTTATTACGTACTACCTATCTGCTCCTGGTGATATGCACTTTTAGCTTATGATATGGTAAATACGAACTACAGGCTAGAATCAGTTTGCTTCCCAATGGCACATGGGACAGATTGGCCTCAAACGTACATGTCGGTGTCCACTGTGCATGTTAAAACATTGTTCTGGTACAAAACCTACATGCAGAAATGTTAATCAATAGATATGAACACAATGTTTTATATGCCATATATTACATAATTGTGAATAAGTAATGTATTTATTTCAAATTAAGTAATTACTTGATATGGGTGCAACTCGCCACTATCCATGGAAAAAAGGTCTAGATTTAGTCAAAATAAAATGTAAAATGTCCTGACAATTAATTGATTGATTATATCCTTATTATGTAGTGGAATTCTTGAAACAAGAATTTAAAAGGTTGAAAGACGATTTGAAGAAGTGCATGGACCGACGTGAAAAGGCAACAAAGTCAGGAGCACCACACTGAAAATTGCCACTGTGTAAATACGTCAGTCAACTTTTGTTTTCGACTGACAAAACAGCAAATAAACCAACAGTGAGCAATGTGTCTATTACAATAAACGAAGGTGAAGACTTGGTTGAAGAATCAGCCAGCCCTTTTGGAACTTCAACCTTCCACCTCTACACCGACCAAAAGAAAATCAATGTCTCAGTCTTGCACTAATGACAACATCAATAAATTTTAACACAATAAGCCTTTTCTGGTTCTGCCAGAAAAGTAATAAAATAATCATAGTCAACCTAGTCAACCCAAAAAGTGTCGTGCTTAGCTAGCCCATTTTGTAGATTCAATGCTGGTGAAAACACTACAAGATATGCAAAATTATAATGGAAATAGATCTGAGGACCTGTAGGCGGAAGATGTTGAACATTGTAGTACTCAGGGCGAAGGGAGAGAGGGCGTAGAAACGGCCATACATCGAGCGGACCCATCCGTGATGCGGGCTTCGCGGGGGGTAAGACGTTCTAATTGTAAACAAATATGGCTACGCGTATATGACCCATCAGAAGGTATGCTGAAACTCATAGGCGTACGGGGCCGCTAAATTCTGGGGGGGCGGTAGCTTTTTTGCCCAAAAAATTCCACATTGCCCAAAAAATGTCAAAAAAATTTTTCCGGATTAATTATTTTGGCGACCTCCCCCCCCCATTCCCCCCCCGTCGCCAAAAAAAATTTCGGTCAGTGTACCATTTTAGGGGTCAAAAAAATTTTCCGGACAACCAATATTTTTCGGAACATAACACAAATTTTCCAAAAATCACAAAATTTGCCAAAAAATTTACTTAATTTTAGACAAAATTGACAGAATTTGTCCCATTTTTTTTAATTGCAAACCAAAATTGCCCGACTGTTGATCGAATATTGCCCGACTGCCCAAAAAACTGGGATATTGCCCGACTGCCCAAAAAACTGGGGGGGCTACCCCGCCCCCCGCCCGGTACGCCTATGCTGAAACTATTGCTTTATAAAATATTACTTGTGTAAAATTTATATGTTTTTGTTACTTTCAGCTACTATAAGAAACTTAAAGATAAGATTTAAGTAACAAAAAAACTTTATTTTAGGTATTATTTTATTTACAGTATATACTCTGTTTAATTTGGTGCTTAAAAATGGCCGTCGAAATGTTGTCCGAGAGTGTTAGCGCGCACTGCTTCCTGATAAAAAAACCAATGATTTCCAAAACCTAAATTATAATTTGTTATTAAGTTATGATGAAAACCTTTGCGTATACAAAATTATAGAGTGGGCAAACATGAGACAGATAGGTTTTGAACCTTTCAAAGTTCGAGGTCGAATTGACAGTTGAAATAGTACCAAACTCCAAGCTGAAATGTGCAACTAAATCGTATATATTTTTGTAAATTTTGTTCACTGGCCTTTGTTAAATTCACTTGCAATGGCTCGACATAAGTTACAACATACAAACTGAGCAGAGCCCACGAAAGAGCTATCCATACCCATACAGTCATTCAGCTTCCTTGCTATTTAGAAATTGTTGCCCATTAGTTGAAGAAAAATTGCTATTATATGCGCTTGTTTGCACTCCTTTCCTAAAAAAAGGCGACAATATTAAGGCTAAATAGCAGAAAAATGAGACTCAATAATCCATGCAATTAAAAATATCTATCAAATTAACTTCAAAAATCATGATTTGAGGAATTATATCTATTCAGGAAACCCATAATTTTAATAGTGACAGGTCTTGGCAAGGTGAAAGCTGAAAGGAACCCTTAAGATGGGTGAACTACACAACTATATTGACTGAAGTTTTGGAAACATTTAACTAAATTTTGAAGGATTGATTGCAAACTGTGATTCAGTATCCTGGAATTTTACACTTCTGGAGAAATTGTGGCTCTGTTAGTGCCATTTCTTTCATTGTTTATATATTTTGCTTTTAAGCATTGCTCGCTTATAAAATCTTTCAATTCCTTAGGGCCTGTTTATATGATCCCCCCTAGATGGGACGGGACGTTTCATCCCGCCAAGACAGGATACTCGCCTAGTGTTTATATGGACAAAATACATTGCCGGGATGAAACCATTCGGTGCTTGACGTCATATTTTTGTTGCAATAAAGGCATTTACGCATGCCCAAAAGGGAAAAATTCATTCCGCCTAACCGGGATAAAGTGTTTATATGGGAATTTTTCATCCCGGCTGGGCGGGATGAAGTGTTTTTATATGGGAATTTTTTATCTAGCTTAGGCAGGATCCCGGCATCTGTTGCCGAAATCCAGTCTAGGCGAAATAAGTGGCGGGATCATATAAACACTCTTTAGCATTTGTATTACAAGCGGGATCTCGGTAAGCATCCCGTCCCACCTGGCCGGGATCATATAAACAGGCCCCTAATCTCATCCCATGATACTGAATCACAGTTTGTAAGGCCCCATTTACATGAGACCAGGATGAAACTAACCTGGAATGAAAATTGAAATTGCATGTCAACATGTTTACATGAGACCAGCATGAAAAT